ATAGAAAAGCTGGGTAAATGATCAGGAACTACAGATGTAAGTTTTTCCAATAGAATACAAGAGATGGAAGAGAGAATCTCAGATGTTAAAGACTCACTAGAGGAAATAAAAATCATCAACCAAAGAAAATCTCAAGTCCAACAAATATCCAGGATATATGGGAAAAGCGAAGAGGCCACACTTAAGAATAATAGGTATAGAAGAAGGTGAAGTAATAAACCTCAAGGGTACAGAAAACATATTCAACAAAATCATACGAGAAAACTTCCCCAGTCTAAAGAAGGAAATGCCTATGAAAGTACAAGAAGCTTACAAAACACCAAAAAAGCTGGACCACAAAAAGAAGTCGATTCACCACATAATAATCAAAGCACCAAACTTACAGAATAAAGAAAAAATAGAGTGGACCAGAAAAAAAATCCCCTTACCACATAATAATCAAGACCCCAAATATACAGAATAAAGAAAGAATATTGGCTGGGTGGTGGTAGTGCACACCTTTAATCCCAGCACTTGGGAGGCAGAGGCAGGCAGATCTCTGTGAGTTCGAGGCCAGCCTGGTCTACAGAGCGAGTTCCAGGACAGCCTCCAAAACAATACAGAGAAACCCTGTCTTGTAAAAACCAAAAAAAAAAAAAAAGAAAGAATATTAATGGCAGCTAAGGAAAAAGGTCAAGTAACATATAAAGGAAAACCTATCAGAATTACACCTGACGTATCAATGGAAACTCTGAAAGCCAGAAGGTCCTGGATAGATGTTCTACAAATGCTAAGGGAACATGGATGCCAGCCCAGACTACCATATCCAGCAAAGCTTTCAATCACTATAGATGGAGAAAACAAGATATTCCATGACAAAACCAGATTTAAAAAATACATATCCACAAATACAGCCCTATAGAAAGTACTGGAAGGAAAACTTCACCCACTCACAAAAACATAAGCAATAGATAATCCCACTTTACCAAACACCAAAAGAAAAAAATGGGGGGAAATCCACACATAATACAGCCACTACCAACAAATCCAAAACAAACAGGAATTAACAATCAATGGTCATTAATATCCAATGGTCTTAACTTGCCTGTAAAAAGACACAGGCTAACAGAATGGATATGAAGACAGAATCCATCCTTCTTATACACACAAGAAACACACGTCAAAGACAGATGTTACCTAGAGTAAAAGGGTTGGAAAAAGATTTTCCATTCATATGGACACGAGAAACAAGCTGGTGTAGCTATCCTAATATCTAACAAATTAGACTTCAAACTAAATCTAATCAAGAGATGAAGAGGGTGGTTTCATATTCATCACAGGAAAAGTCCATCAAGATGAAGTCTCAATTCTTAAGATTTATGACCCAATATGAAGACACCTACATTCCTAAAAGAAACATTACTAAACTCAAATCATATATAAAATCTCACACACTTACAGTGGGAGATTGCAACACCCCAAGCTCATCACTGTATAGGACCACCAAACAGAAACTTAAGAAACAAAGGAACTAACAGAGGTTATGACACAATTGGACTTAACAGACATATATAGAACATCCCATCCAAACAAAAAAGAATATACCTTCTTCTCAGCACCACATGGAACCTTCCCTAAAATTGACCACATACTTGGCAACATAGCAAACCTCAACAGATCCAAAAAAATTGGAATAACCTCCTGCATCCTATCGGATCACCATAGTTTAAAGTTAGAATTTAACAATACAAATTGCAGAAACCCTACAAACTCATGGAGATTTAACAATGTGTAATTGCACCATTTCTGGGTCAAGGAAGAAATAAAAAAGAAATTAAAGACTTCCTAGAATTCAACAAGAATGAAGAAACAACATACCCAAACTTTTAGGACATTTTGAAAGCAGTGCTAAGAGGAAAGTTCACAGCACTAAGTGCCCACATGAAGAAACTAGAGAATAGTCACACTAGAGATTCAACAGCACAACTGAAAGCTCTAGAACACAAAGAAGCAAATTCACCCCGGAGGAGTAGACACCAGGAAATAATCAAATTGAAGGTTGAAATCAATAAAATAGAAACAAAGAAAACAATACAAAGAATTAATGTAACAAAGAGTTGGTTCTTCAAGAAAATCAACAAGAGGGAGGGAGGGATGCAGGGAGAAAGGGAGGGAGCATGCTAATTAACAAAATAAGAAATGAAAAGGGAGACATAATAATGGACACTGAGAAAATCCAGAGAATCATCAGGTCATATTTTGAAAACCTTTACTTCACAAAACTCAAAAATTTAAAGGAAATGAATAATTTTCTGGATATATATCACTTATCAAAATTAAGTCAAGAATAGATAAGCAATTTAAATAGACCTATAACCCCTAATGGAATAGAAGCAGTCATCAAAAGTCTTCCAAGCAAAAAAAGTCCAGGGTCAGATGATTTCAGTGCAGAACTCTAACAGAAATTCAAAGAAGAGCTAAACTAGTACTCCTCAAACTGTTCCACAGAAGGAACATTGCCAAACTCTTTTTATGAGGCTACAATTACCTTGGTACCCAAACCACACAAGGACACACCGAAGAAAGAGAACTACAGACCAATCTCTCTCATGAATACTGATGCAAAAATACTCAATAAAATACTGGCAAATCAAATCCAAAAACACATCAGAAAAAACATTCACCATGATCAAGTAGGCTTCATCCCAGGGATGCAGGGATGGTTCAACATACTAAAATCATGTAATCCACCATATAAACAAACTGAAAAAGATAAACCACATGATCAACTCATTAGATGCTGAAAAAAACCTTTGACAAAAATCCAACACCCCTTCATGATAAAGGTCTTGGAGAGATCAGGGATAACAGGAACATACCTAAACATAATAAAAGCTATACACAGCAAACCAACGGCCAACATCAAACTAAATGGACAGAAACTTGACTCGATTCCACTAAAATCATGAACAAGACAAGGCTGTCCACTCTCTCCATACCTCTTCAATATTGTACTTGAAGTTTTAGCTAGAGCAAGACGACAACAAAAGAAGATCAAGGGGATACGAATTGGAAAGGAAGAGGTCAAACTTTCACTATCTGCAGATGATATGACAGTTTACATAAGTGACCCAATAAACTCTACCAGGGAACTTCCACAGCTGATGAATACTTTCAGGAAAGCGGCAGGATACAAGACCAACACAAGAAAATCAGTAGCCCTACTATATACAGACAATAAAAGGGCTGAGAAAGAAATCAGAGAAACATCGCCCTTTACGATAGCCACAAACAGCATAAAACACCACCAGAGAAACTAGGAAACAAGGAAGACCCTAAGAAAGAAACAAGCACATGGTCCTCTGAAGAAAGGGAAAGGGACAAGAGCCCCTAAGCAAATTGGGAGCACAGGGGAGAGGGGAGGGAGGTAGGAAAAAGAGAAGGGGAAAAGAGGAGGGTGGAGAACAAGAGGGATCAGGAAGACTGAGACGGGGGGAATAGAGGAGAGCAAGAAAAGAGATACCATAATAGATGGAGCCAGTATAGGTTTAGAGAGAAATCTGGCTCTAGAGAAATGTTCGCAAATTCACAAGGATGACCCCAACTAAGAATCTAGGCAGTGGCAGAGATGTTGCCTTTGATGCCCTTCCCCTATAATGAGATTGATGACTACCTTAATTGCCATCCAAACAGAAGCAGGGACCCACAGCTAAGCACTGAGCCATATTCCCGGAATCCAGTTGAAGAGAGGGAGGAGGGAAGACCAAAGGAGCCAAGACAATGCTGGAAAAACCCACAGAAACAGTTGACCTGACCTAGGATTCCAGTTGTAAAGCTGGGGAATCAGCATTGAACCAAATCAAGCCCTCTAGGGGTGTGTGCCAGCTACGAGGCCTGGGCAGTCCATGGGACCAGTAATAGTGGAGTCAGTGTTTATCCCTAGTGTACAAATGAACATTGGTAGCCCATTAGCTATGGAGGGATACTATTGAAGCCCAGATACACGAAAGAGGGCCTACCTCTTCCCCAAATGATGTGACAGACTTTGATGATCCCCAGTGGAAGGCTTCACTATCCTTGGGGATTGGGTGGATAGGGGGTGGTCCATGGGGGACATGGGAGGATGGGAGAATGAGAGAATGGGAGAATTGATATGTAAAATAAGATTGTTTCTAAAATAAAAACTAAAATATTTCACTTCATCTACTCATCAATTAATAAATTCACTCATTCAAGAAATACTGAGTACGATATTCTTGGTGTATTATTCTAGGTAAGAGGGATACTGTGACTTAGTAAATGTCCTATGGGAGGTCTTGCCCTCTCCATGGAGCAGACTGGAGGAGAGGGGAGTGGAGGGAGTGGGAGGGAAGGAGGGAGAGGAAACTGGTATTGGAATGTAAAAAATAAATTAATAAAGAAAAGAGGGATAATGTGAACAAGACCAAGAAGACTCCTGCATTCAAGAGTATCCCTCAAACTGCTCCTTTTTCTCAGCTCTTATTATGCTAGATACTAAGCCCAATCTTGGTTTCTCTTGATAATAACCATGAAAGGAGGAATCACTATTCCTGTTCATGGATAAGGAAAGACCCAGAAAGACCAGGGAGCCAGGGCATCCTTTTCTAGACACCCTGCAGCACCTCCAGCTGTGTAACAGCTCTAAACACTCTTACTTTCTGGAAATGTCTGCACATCTGAATAGTGGATCTTGCAAAGTCTGGTTCATGCCTTCAATTTAAGTGTAGTAGAGGAGCAGTGGAGCCCTCATGAAAGAGGGAAGTAGAGCTTTGGGGAATTCTTCATCAGGTTAATGACAATGTTGCTTAACCCAGTCAGAAGTCTCCCACCAGAAGGGAGTTTCTAACCTAACTTCACTATTGCCATGAAGTCACAGGGGACAAAATGCCCTGTGCATCACAGCCCAGCTCAGAGCAGCAATGGCAGGTAGTCACATACATCCAGGGCTTCTCTCAAGAGATTAGACAAGCACCCTGCTGTCAGGTGACACAAACACATACCATAATGTCCAAGGCCAACTATGGTGTCCTCTAAACTTGGCTCAACTTCGTCAAGGTCCAGGGAAGGAAGGGTCTGAGGTTCAGGTAGGCTCTCTGAAGTCCGTTCATCTAATTCCTTGTGGAAGGGAATCAACAAACCATGAGAAGCAGACATTAGGGAAAGGCCCTGCCACAAATGAAGCACGTCTTCTCCCCTAAGCCTCATAGCAATTTCCAACTTCAGGCTGGTAACTTGGGATAAGAGAAATAGTCCTGAACCTGCCAGCGACCTTGGACAAGGCATTCAACCTCTGTAGGAACTGGTTTATAGGCCACAGCTAGGCAAACCAAGCAACATACCCAGGGAGCTAAGTCAAAGGTTCAGGCAAGTATAGGCCTGAACCATCAGCAGCTAGAAGCAAGTATTTATCGCCAACGTGCAACCATAGTATCTCACCTAACTTATCCCCAGGCCATCCCTTCTCAGTTTCATTTCAAAACTAAAAGTGTCAACTTGAATGACTTCCACATCTCATCTGGACTTACAAGTCCTGAGAGTCTAAGAATTTCAGTTTCCTAAATGACACATAGCTAAGAAATGATAAAGGAATTCATGCTTCAAAAACATAAAAGGTAAGGTTGGGAGTGTGTATTAGCTGGTAGCATGCTTTCCTGGTATAAAAGAATTCCTGCACTCAATCTCCAGCACTGTGAAACATGTGCCTATAATTCCTGTTGGAGAAGCTGTCTTAGCTACTGCCCTATTGCTTGGAAACACATCATGACCAAGGCAACTCTATTTTTAAAAGCATTTAATTAGGGGTTTGCTTACAGCTTTAGAGAGTTAGTCCATATCATCATGGCAGGAAGCAGACAGGCATGACAATGGAGCAGTAGCTGAGATCTTTACATCTTGATCTGCAGGCAGCAGACTAGGGGTGGGGGGCGGTGGGGAGACTGGGCCAGGCATGGGTTTTTGAAACTTCAAAGCCCACTCCTAGGCACACAGTTCCTCCAATAATGCCACTCCTACTCCATCAAGGTCACACTTCCGAATCCCAGTGTTCCCCAGATTGTTCTACTTTCTGGTGACAAAAGCATTCAAATATATGAGTCTATGGTGGCAGGGCATTTTCATTCAAACCACCACAGAGGTGGAGCATTAAGTAGCCCTGAACTAAAGAGCAGGTTTGAAGTGAGCCTGTGCAACATGAGAAACTGCCTCAACAAAACAAAACTAAAACTAACTAAATAAAGGTAAAGTGCCCAAGTATATTAATGGGAATTTCAACAGGCCATTTGTATTTTATTACTCTGTGTGTGTGTGTGTGTGTGTGTGTATGTTTGCAAACTAAATGTAATACTAAATTGTCCTATTTTCTCTGATAAGCAGTTTTCATGGTGGGGGGTGACCATTCCAAGAATGCCTTTTGTTAAGAAAAAAATTAAAAGGCAAGTCCAAAGTAGTATTAACTGAGTAAGTCAGATGAAGCCGTGTACCAGCACAGCAAGGCACTTGTGAGAACATGCTCAGGAAGCATAGCTGAGAGAGAAGTCTGCCTCCTGTACCATCTGATGATTGTTTAAGGAGGTATAGCTGGGTTCAGATCACAAAGATTCACTGCTGGGACACACAGAGAACCCAAAGAACAAGGAGGCTGCATGATACCATCACTGCATGAACTTCAGAAGGTATCTGCAAAGAAGCACCGGGGCACTCAACTGACCGTAGCTCACTGAGGTTCTCTTTGTGGAGGACAGGACTGCTATAGCTGCCTCTCTCAGAAAGAGAAGTACTGGTTTGATCTTTGACCCCTGTTCCCAGAGCACACTGGGGTCCTGGTCTACTAGGTGCTTTTCACAGATGTCCAGTTCTAGCACCAGTACAACTGCACATGCCACAGGGAAAAGGACAGTCTGGGCTTGCCTTGGGTATTACAGTGTGGTTTTTCTTTGTTTGTCTCTATTGTTTTTTAAGCTACCATCCTCTTAAGAAGTAGAGTCAAACACGATTCCACATGTAATTGTGCTTCAAGATTTCAAAATGCAAATTCAGCCAAGCAGAAAATGCCGACCAAAACAAATGCACTGTCAATTAAAGTCTGAAAACAAATCAAGCCACTCTCCTAAATGCCTTAAGGAATTTTCAGAATATATGGCATACTGGGTCCATACACTCTCCCTCCTACAACTGCTTCTGAAATGTATGAAGAGGTCCTGGAGGCATGGCTCAGTTGGTAAAGGGCATGCTATGCAAGCAGGAGGACCTGAATTCAGATTCCTAGCATCTGTATTCAAAAAATATGTTAATTACAAAGCTGGAGAGGTAGAGATAGTAAGATTCCCAGGGTTTGCTGGCCAGCCAGCATAGCATGATCAGTGGGCTCTATGTTGAGTGAGAAACATCTCACAGAATAAGACAGAAAGGAACAGAGAGGGAGCCCAATATTCACCTCTGGTCTTCACATGCATGCACACACATGAACATGCACATGCATCCAATGAGCACATGCTCCACAATGAAGCCAGAGGAGTTTGCTCCAGCCTTGCAAATGAGAAAGATGGAATTGAGAGGAGAGTCTCAATAAGGTTAGGGAAAAATGAAGCCATCACAATATAGAGAAGGGGCAAGGAAGTGCATTCAAAGACAGGTGCATTTTTCCTTTATCCAATTTTCCTTCAGCCTCTTGCATCTGATTAATCCAGTTTCTGTCATATTTTATTTCATCTTTTTAGCTCGACAATGCCTTTCCCCGAGCTGAGGAAAACCCTTCGGGCCTCTGCAAAGTGTTTAGCTTCTTCCTTTGTTCTGTGACTATCATTAAGCCCATCTGTCTCCCTCTTGTGCCTGTGAATATGATTAAACCTGTCTCTTTCCTGCCTGGCTGCCCCCACTCCCTCCTCCTGGTGTGAACAAGAAAGTCTTCCCCTCAGGTTTATCCTCCTTTTCTTCCATTCCCATTAAATGACTTTTTTCCTCTAAAGAGATAAGAGATCCGTTCATTGGTGTCATTTTCAGCTCTTCCTCCATTCAGAGGGGGTAGGTCATGTTCAGGAGCCCCATTTTCTACCCATGGATAATGGGATGCAATTCTTGGTCAGCAGCATGAGAAGCAAAGCTGAACTTATTAGAAATCTGACAGCCCAGGCCCTACCCCACACCAATAGAATGACGATCAAGATAATACAGGATACTCTGCCATGTTCTCAAGTTTGAGAAGTGTCTTGTAAGTCACAGAATTTAAATGAGAGACAGCTGGCTGTGGACCTGAGAGGTCAGAAGGTTCTCTGAAAGACAAAAAGGCCTCTGAAAGGAGAAGGGTACTAACCACTGATCACCTATTGTTCCTGTGCGGCCATGCTAACAATGCTCCTATCCATATATAAATTTGGGAAACTCTTCTAAGAAGTTCAGGACCAGAGACAGTGGTACTAAACCTCAGAAAACTTAAAGAATGAACCAAAATCTTTAGCCAGGACAGGATTGGATGTGCACATACTCACCCTTGAGTGTGTATACATACACACTACGCTCCTGCACAGGCACACATGCATGTGTGCATGTACACACACACACACACACACACATACACACACACACACACACACAACTTGCTGAGAGAAAGGAACGCATAATTGTCAATCTTGTCCAATGGGAGAAATTTAGAATCACTATGGAAACACATTTCTGGGTGTGTCTATGCAAGTGTTTGCAGAAAGGCTGAGCCAAAGAAGGAAGACCTCCTCTGAATGTGGCCAGTAGCAGCCCACAGGCTGGGATCCTAGGCTAAAAGAAAGGAGAAAACCAGCTGGGCAATGATAGTCACTACTCGCTGCTTCCTGAGTGCAGATGCAATGTCCTTGCCAGCACAACTTCTCAGTCACTATGGACTATACTTTCAAATTACACATTCACCCAAAACTTTCCCTCAAAACAAGCCCTTCCTTAAGTTGCTTCAGTTGGGTATTCAAGAAAGGTAACTAGTACAGGAAGTCACTGGGATGCATGCTGGGAACAACAGGGTCTTTGAGCAACCTCTGTTTTTTGTTTGTTTTGATTTTCAAGACAGGATTTATCTGTATTGTTTTGGAACCTGTCCTGGCACTTACTCTGTAGAGCAGGCTGGCCTTGAACTCACAAAGACCCACCTGCCTCTGCCTCCTGAGTGCTAGGATTAAAGGTGTGTGCCACCAATGCCCAGCTTGCAATTTATTTTTTTAATATTTTATTTATTTATTATGTATACAGTATTTTGCATTTATGCTTGCACAAAGAAGGAGGCACCAGATCTCATCTTAGATGGTTATGAGCCACTGTGTGGTTGCTGGGATATGAACTCAGGACCTCTGGAAGAGCAGTCAATGCTCTTAACCACTGGGCCATCTCTCCAGCCCCACAACCTCTTTCTTAATCTGAGCTGCCTCCATGTTCTGTGTGATAAAATATGGTTAACAAAATCTATTTAGCTTGGTGTGGCTTTGCATGCCCGTAATCTCGGCACTTGAGAGGCTGAGGCAGGAGGCTCGTGAGTTTAGGCCAGTCTGGGCCACACAGTAAGACCCTGTCTGGAAGGAAGGAAAGAAGCGAAGAAAAGAGTGAGGGAGGGAGGAGGGAGGAGGGAGAGAGGAGGGAGGAGGGAGAGAGGAGGGAGGAGGGAGAGAGGTCATTTAGGACTCATAATACAAAAAAAGGCCATATCTGGCTCTCAAGCTCCAGTCACAGCAAAGAATTGTCTCTGATCTCAAGGGTTTCTGGGATTCCAGGTTATTTTGGTGATTGAGCAGGGAGTTTGCATACATTAATCCTCATAATCATGTCAACTTCCTTGTCTAGATCTTTGGGAATGCCTGGTTTTCAGTCTTGTATGGACAAAGCAGAGCCAGGGACTAAGAACTACTGCCATTGGCCATCTTCACAGTGCCTAGGCATGTCTGAGGTGCTGAAGCAAGACACTCAGTTTTCTTGGGGGCATGGGTTCTCCCAAACTGGCAGCATGAAGACTTTACTCTTGGTTGACACCTCATCCTGTTGCTGACCCCATATCCTTTCAACCAGAAGTTCTACACTTGCCAGCATCCACGAGCAGGAAAGACCTCCCTCACAGTTTCCCGAGTCTCTGAGTCCAGGGGCAGATGGCACAAATGGCATTACCAGAAAGTAGAATACTAGGCAGGACTGAGCACTGTTCATCAGCACTCTTAGGGTGTCTGCTGACCAGCTCCATAGGTAGAAGGAGACCAGTAAAGTCATAGAGGAGACTAGATCTACTGTGAGAACCAACTTTGGATTCTATGATCCTCTAAATACTTGAGGACGATAGATGAGCATTGTCTTGAACAGAGAGAGACAGAAAACAGGTGTTCCTAGGCCTTGCTCTTCAAAGAGATAGATTTGCTCAGGTTTCTGCATGTCCCAGGGTTTGGAAGCCTGTACTGACTAATCTAAGTCAAAGAATTTACAACACTGAGGTTCAGAGCATTGTTTCACAGTCTCAAGGGTTGGTTTTCTCTGTTAAAGGACAGCATTTCAGATGCTGAGATTTCCTGAATGAACATCTTAAATCTTTTCTACGCTAATGTGCTTTTATCAGAAGAGCTATGAGGCTGGTGTTGGTGTCAACTGCCCCAAATGAACCCTCACATAGACTACCTTAGTATGAGATCCTACCACCAAGACCCAGAGATATAATCTCAAACCCAAATGAAGACAGTATTTGCCACTCAGTGATTTCAAATACAGAACAAGAGAGGGGTCCTACAACTTTATTCACTCATTATCAGATATCCATGGTAATTCTTCAGTTTGAGTGAAGTGTGATGATATGGATAGGAGACAGACCATAAAAGGTTAAAAGGAAAAATAAGACAAAAAGGGATTGATGGACTAGAGAGGCAAAACACAATGTATAGATGTGAAGGTCAGATATGTGCATACTTGTTCTATTAATTAATCTTCTTAACCATAATCGCTGCATTTGGTGATAATTCAGTTAATTATTGTTAATAGTAGCCACTTGCTATGTGATGACTGAATCAACTGGTCCACTTGCAGATATAAGCTGCTTTGATTATGGGTTGTCATGGACTGTTGGCTTACTTGTAGAGAGCCCTCCCTGGAGGTGGGCCAAGTTGGTCTGGATGTTTTCTTTTCTATCCTTTTCTTACACATTTAGCCTGATGAATTTGAGGGACCCAAAGCAAGGAAACATCCCATGAAAACATGAAATAGGGGTGCTTACGTGGAGCACATCGACACTCAGAGGTTCAAAGTTCTGGAATCTGGTTTCTTGCATCTGTTTGTTATTTTCTTTATATCTTTCTTCCACAATCTTTCTGTGAATTCAATGAGAACGTATAAAAATCAGTACGAATTCTTTAGGCCATATTCATAGTATACAAACAAGCATGATTGCTGCTTTAACATGTAGACAGGGTTATCAGGAAACCAGACTATCAGGTTTGTTCCTCAGGGTGTAGCCCCCGAAATAATTATTTTAAAATTTCAAGTGATTCTCTTCCAAAGCATACACACTAGGGAAGCTATGGCTCCTTAGTCAACTCTGGAACCCCTGGAATATCAGGAGAAGATAACACTCACCCCTGAACATCATGATTGTGAATGGCTGAGATTCATTTTACTTCATGATGAGCAAGTCCATACACAAGGACAATGGAATGACATATCAAGGAATGTGTGCGCACTGTGGTGGAGGTTAAGTGGCAATAAATCTACTGTCTAAGAAGCTTTCAACTATCCAATTCTGTATTAGTCACCAAGATGTAAGACAGACTTCTAGGACTTAGGATTCCTTTTGTATAACATGCCCACCTCTGTCTAGAAGACACCATTCTATTCTTTACTTCCCTAAGCTTCATTTTCTACACTACATATTAATGAGATTATGCAAAATTGGCATTTCTCAGTGACATTAACTAAAATGTACAGCCCCTCTTGAATCCTAGAAACAATGACCAAAATTCTAATTCAATTAATTTATAAAATCAAGGCCAAATAGGAATAATATTAGCATATCATGTGGAATATTTATGCTATATGCTATTCTTTTGCCTATAAATAGTTTTCATCTGAATAATATTTTAATATGCATGCAAAGTATAATATTTGCCTTTCTTACGTCTTCCTTTCAGATTGAACCCCTCATTTTTATTCAACCAACAACAGGAATTATGCTACCTCGGAGACATTAACATTACATGCATTTAGACGGGTTTGGAGTTATGAGTTGGTGTAGTGACTCCAGAAATTTAAGGGCATATATTTCCCCAGGTCGACCCACAATCAGTGGTTTATAGGAACCAGTATGAACAGACTGCACATACATCTTCCCAAATGAACAATCCATAATATCATCTGGTAGCCTGAACCTGGCCATGACTAGAGCATTTACAACGAGACCAGAAAACAAACTAGCCACCTCCCAACCCAAAGATGCTCACTACCCATTCTTCAACATCCCACTGCCTGTGACTTCACTGTGATGGACTGTACCCTCAGACGGTGAGCCAAAGCAGGCCCTTTATCCTGTAAGTTGCTTTTATCAGGGCATTTTATCACAGCAATGAAAAAAGCTAACAAACACAGGGAAAATACCAAAGCTGTCTGTTCGGCTTCTTAGGTCCAAGTGTCAGCAGTAGGGAGCATGACAACATTTTCATCACTGGCAGCTTACCTACCTTTCAATCTTTGTCTTCACACAGGACTGAAAACCTGATGTAAACAGCATCTGACAGCCAATCTATGGCCCAGTAGTCTTGTTTGGGAGAATAGCTGAATGAATACATAGTGACCGTATGTGCTTTGGGGTTTGGTTCTTGCTCTCCTTGCATGAGTTCTTTGACAGCACCATTAGGCGGGGCAGGGCATGGGGCACCCAAACGGAAGGAAGGCAGCTTACTTCAGCTTCCTGGCTTTCTCATCAGCTGCCTGAAGCTTCCTCAGCCGCATCCTTTCTCTCGGAGTCATTTTCTGTACTTCAGACAGGGCTTGGAGAGTCTGCAGGTGAATCTTTTTCTGCCTATAAGTAATAAACATTCTCCAACATGCAACTCATATCAAACATGCTCCGAAAAAAATTAAACAAATATTTTACAGAAGTATCATTGCTCTATGGAGAGACAGCAGCGTCTCGAGGCAGGCCAGGAAAATCTAATAAACTCTGAGTGGGTAATGAGCCAACAAGGACTAGAGTTAATCAGCATTATTTTTCAAATTAGATTTCTGCTTAAAAGCAAATTGTGTACTTTCTAAATTCCTGTTCATTTCGTTGCCTGTGGCTGGTTTTTATAATGGAAGACAAATTGGGATCTTGGTCCTTAGAGAGTAAATAGTCCACCAGAGGACCTCATCTATGTGTACTATTAGGCCATGGTCTTTGGAAAAATAGTGAATTCTACCTCCATCACCCATTCTCTCTGTAGCCAAGGACCTGAAAGTGAATCCAGTTTTCCTCCTCTGTAAAGAGTGGGCTACAATAAGTATCACATAAGATAATGTATGTATATTGTCCAATGGTGGCACTACAACAACTGTATTTTCTTAAATGGCTTATATTCTGGGCTAACTCCAATAGATGTTTTATGGTAGTATGGTCCAGTGGGTAACTGTAAAGGTTAAACATACTCCCTGGGTTCAAATTATGACTCCCAGGTTACACTCCGAATGTCTTTTAGAGGTTATGGAATGTCTATGTATCTAGAAAAGAGAATAATACCATGTACTTCATAGGGGAATCCTTCATTTATTGAAGTTGAAACTGCTCACAGTAAACAAGGATGGCAAGGCTTGTGGCTACATTCCCAGTGACTTCTCCTCCTGAGACCTGTGGCTACATTCCCGGTGACTTCTCCTCCTGAGGCCTGTGGCTACATTCCCGGTGACTTCTCCTCCTGAGGCCTGTGGCTACATTCCCGGTGGCCTCTCCTTTAGTCCCTGACTTTGTTGGGGACAGATATTTCAAAAGGCTCCTGGTCCTCAGCTTCTTCCTTAGGGAACACTGTGAGACACCGAATATCATCCTGACCAGAGTGTCCCAGGAAGGGACAATCTATCAGGAATATGTACCCCTTATTTTATAGGACTTAATAGAGTCGCCTGAAACATGACCACAGATGTTGAAAATAAAGGGGACTAGTTGAAATCAATATTTTACAGTGTGAAATGCCCTCCAGACAATTGAATTCCAGCATGCCATTGATTGTAAACTGTGTCAGGCAACTGTTCCACAAGTGCTCTGCAAAATGATAGCTAAAGTAATTCACTGTTTAAAAAAATAAGATAACCTCTACTCTCACACCTCTAGTTAATAAGCAAAAATAAAATTCAGACGTTCTTGAAAGAACAGGTAGCAACAGAAGAAAATAACCATATTAGAAACATGTCTACAAATTTACCGCAAGGGATCTTTTCCAGGTGTCCATTTGTTTAAGGTCAATGTGAGGCTGGAAAATCAAATAGGACACAGTCCAGAAACCACTGTATCACAGGAGAGTTCATGCACGGGGGGGGGTGTCAGAGAATGTCCGCAACAGTTGTGTGTGTATGTGTGTGTGTGTGTGTGAGAGAGAGAGAGGGGGGGGGGAGTGTCTGCACTGGGGGTGAGTCAGTGGAGAATATGAGAATATCTGGCTATTTGGCCTTGAAGGTCAGTCTGGGGACATCTGTTCTCATACCATTCCTTTGCACACCACTGGGGAGGTAAAACCATTGAATTTGGGTCCTCAGATTCAATCTTTAAGAGACAGAGTCCCCTGGCATCTGCAATTCACTGCTTGCACAGGTATACACCACTGCTCTGGAGAAACCCACCATTCTATGCTTTTACAAGTTAAAGCAGAGAAATTTCTTGAATTAGAAAAAGAGAAGTCAGTTCCAGAAATTATTGCTGTTCTTTGGAAATGTGCTTTCTCTTATCTTTTTCTTTTTTGAGAGAGAGAGTGTATGTATGATATGTGAAGAAAGTGAATTTTGACTTTTTATTCAAATGCCTACCATACATACTTTCCATAGTTAAATGAATACCATATGAAGCCATTTAGGTTTCTGAGAGAAGGCTCATTAACATAAACATTCCTAAATGTCTGAGCTACTCATTTCTCTATGCACACACAGGCAGCAGGCAACCGCAGTGCTGCCCTGCAGATCTGTGAGTTGTGAGGAAGTTTAGATGTTCAGGATTTCAGTCTGCTACCACCTAGGGCAAATGGCTTTGGAATGCCGCTTCTTAATTTCTCGGCAAGACTGAAGTGAAATCTAGGATGCCCCATGCAGTCAACTTAGCACTAATAGATTTTTTAAAGACTGATACACTTAGCATTTACACGGGATGGGCTTTTTAAAAACAAAGCAATTACTTACACAGCATTAATTATCTGAACAGCGTCCTTCTGACAGCCTGAGTTCTTGTCTTCCAGCGTCACTTCGGAATATTTGCACATCAGCTGCTGAAATGAAGGAAAACCCCACCTCTGAGCCTGTAATGTAATAGTGTCCACCCTCCCCCTGACAGGATGGATGCTAAACAAGTGAGACACCTAGCTAAGGGTGTAACACAGACCTCAGCAAGCAGGGGAGCATTCCTTAACACAGCATCATCTGTAAAATCAAATCAATGCCCAAGCCCATGAAGACTAGAATTCCAAATGTTTGCAGAGGCTCCAACCCTGAACCTGAGCAACTATACCCCACTTGCATCTCACTAATCTTGGCCTTGTTGGAGCTTAAATTTTTATGTTTTTGCTATCTGGGTGATATTGATTTTGAAATACTGCATAGCTAGAGAGATGGCTCAGCAGTTCAGAGAACTTGCTGCCCTTCCAGAGAAGTCTGTTTTGTTTTTCTGCACCACAATGCAGATCATAAATGCCTGTGACTCTAGTTCTGCAGGCTCTGATGCCCTCTTCAAGCCTCCTGCTGAGACTGTTTACATGACTGGCTGCCTCCTCCTCCCAGTGTTAAGATGGCGGCTACTCCTCTGACTATCAAAGAGTGCTTCTCTCTCCCTTACTCTTTCTTCCAGCACCAGTCTCCGTTCTTGGCTGCTTCCCTTGGCTACGGAGTCCTCACTCTAGCAGTTAATCTTCAGCAGAACAGGCCATGTCCGCCCCTCTCTTCTCAGTCTCCCTGGGGTCAGCACTGTGCCTCATGGCTGAGCACATGCCACTGCTACCTTTGCTTCCTCTGGATTTAGCTCTTAATCCACTGAGGAAAAGTAGGCACCTGTTACAAGGCAGGTGACCTGGTGGTTCCTGTTAGAGTTATTCATAGCAGAGGAAACTTGCTGAGGGCTTAGCAAAAGCCTGAGAGGTCCTAAAAGATAAAAACTTTGGAGAGGACAGTTTGCTGTTTACACCCCAGGCAGGTCTAATCCAGTTCCCTAATGCCAAGGAAAAGAAAAGAGACACCTAAACAATTAAAGATGCTAAGTCCTGCCTTAAAGGAGGGAATAATAATAGCCCAGTGAAAATTCATGTTATTAGCAGTACACTCTTGTACTATCAAGGGTGGATTTCAAAGTATTGAGGTAAGATCTGTCAATCTCACAGCCATTGGTTGGATAATAATGGTTTTAGGTAGAAAATTAGAGATCCAACTCCCCATGTCTGGTGGCATTAGGCAACCAGAATTTGTCTAGCCTACTCTGCAGAGATTTGCCCTGTGTTCATCTTGGCTTCCCTTAAAGCCTGCTTTCCTCCTCTCTGTCCGATTCTTAACCGCATCTCAGTCCTACAGCATAACTTCAAGACAAAGAGTGTTCGCCCTGATACCACTCTCATTTCCAGTACCTGACGATGCTCATTGATGTAAGGGACTTTTAAAACTTCTACTGCAGATGGTCTCAGTGAAGGACTTTTGTTCAACATGCTGTAATATTTGAAAAGAAAATCACTTTTCAAATGAACAAAAACTTAACTTCATTTCAAACACAGGAATAAAACTTCAATGGTCTCTGTTTCAGACTTGGTTCCATACCGTTGCATGACTGTGTTTAGTTCTTGTGGGAATCTCTCTGGGAGTGAAGGTGTGTCGCCTTCGACAATATTTAAAACCACAGATAAGAAACTGGAACCAGCAAATGCATGATCCATACAACACATCTCATATAAAATGCATGCCAGTGACCTGCAGACAAAAACCAAAACATTTAAACGAAAAACAAATGTCCCATTTAAAATTTATCCACCATGAAAACCCCCAGAGATATTGGGACGTTAGCTACAATGCACTAACATCCATTTGAGTTTGTTTGCAGACTACATATTTGCCAAGAAAAACCTGGACTCAAAAGGACAATTTGACAGATAGGTAGGGACACACAAACACAGGCACACTCACATGCATGTAGTCACGCAGCACGCAAATCCAAGACCCATCAATGGATGAAGTACAGAGAGAGAGAGCTGAACACACTTTTTCCAAAGGAAAATAAATAGTCCAACAGCAAGATATCTGCATAAAGAGTCTAAAATTTGATTAATGTAGCTGGGAATTTTTAAATTAGCTTCTATGAAAGAAAAACAAAATGCAGCTACATATTACCTGCCTAAGGTACTTTTGTAAAGTTATGTATGCAGAATGAAATTTTAATTTATCAGCCTGCCCCATCCTCTGTGTGTACTGTGCATGTTGAAAAGGAAGCTGGCATTATTTATTAGTTTTCTGAATAGAACACATTTGCAAGTAGAAAGGGAGAGAAACTATTTGCAGCTCACATTAAAATGTATAACTCTCCTTTGGGGATCATGAAACAGGAGATCAAAATCAGAGATCAGCTCAATGCTGAGGTGGATTAGCCATGCCAACTGGTATCCTCTGAGCTGGCAGGAACATGTTCTTAATGGTTCCACATTATAAAGAAAATTAATATTAAAGTCTTCCCTGAGCTCAGTATTAAAAAATACTAGACTTTTTTTTTTTGTTGTTTTTTGAGACAGGGTTTCTCTGTATTGTTTTGGAGGCTGTCTTGGAACTCGCTCTGTAGACCAGGCTGGACTCTAGCTCATAGAGATCCTCCTGCCTCTGCCTCCCAAGTGCTGGGATTAAAGGCGTGGGCCACCAACGTCCGGCAAGACTATTTTTATCTTATAGGCATTGAGAATTATGTAATGGCCATATTCCCCTTTTCATAATAGTTGCTTGAAAGACGAAAAAAATGTGTTTGTGATAGAGTATAAGATATATGTTATGTAACTTTTAGCACAACATTTTGTAAGGGAAGTGTTTACATAAATAACAACATTAACATAGAATTTATTCCATGGCTTCTTATGGAAGTGCACATATGAAAGAGAATTCTGAACATGCACACTGAAAATGTTTCTGTTCCAATAAGCAACAATAACCCTAAAGCTTTATGGCTGATAACAAAGCACTTTCACATATATCACAACAGTAACTCAGACTTCCCCAGTGAAATGAAACCAATGTCAGAATTTTGTTCTCAACTCAAAGATAACAGAATTGGCTCTGAGAAGCTAAGTGACTTGGTCACGGTCACACAGTAGCAAATGGTAGAACTGACTCTTGAATTAAAGCATTTTGCTTCCAAACCCTCTACCATTTCAATTGAAAAGAAAGCAATTACACAGAACCAACTAGAGCACCAGCATCAACATAAATATTGTAGATAAGAAAGTATCTGAAGCTCAACCTGTTTTGTGTCCATCTGTAAGAGTATCAAAAGGTATCTTAGACAGGAATTTTAATACACTTAGGTTTAAGCATCCAGGATGATAACTTTCTTCAAATGAATATAAAATAATGGCATTTCTAGAAAAATGAAAAGCGTGTTCCTTGCCAGCAGCAAAGCACTAAACACGTTCTGGAAGGGAGTTTTTCTACTAAAGAAAAATGATACTATGCAGAAACATGCAATGCTAGAATAAACAACATTAAAAAGCACGCTGTGAATATGTATAAACAGCATTACTCTGCACGACAATATTGATAATATCTTGTTGGACCTAAAAATTGAGTGTAATAAAGTTTATGGCATGATAACACAAAAGACAAAAAAGAAGAAGACTTAAAGTTTTTTCAGATACTCCTGCTATTGAGAAAGAAGTCATAATGATATTTTTACTACACAGTAATAAAGATGCATGTTGTATTTCCTAGAATTATCATTGAAGGATGAGATAACATAGAAGTAAAACAAACTGGGAGAAAGAAAAACTAATAACAAATTTTTAAACCAAAAGGAAGGAAATAAAATGAAAACAAAATAAACTGGACATAGATAATGTAATAAGATAAAATACAAACATAGTTACACTAAATGTAACAGTAAATAGTTCAGTTGGAAAAGTTTATCAGACTGGATTAAAAATATACTGCTGTCCAAATAACTTTGAGTATCAGAATATGATAAAATTGGGTAGAGTTCTACATACTGAGCCAGTGAGATACGTTAGCAGGTGAAGATGTGTGCTGCAAGACTGAAGAGATGAGTTTAATCGCAGTGACCTACAGGGTAAGAGAATCAGCTCCTGAGGTTCCCCCTGACCTCCACATTCACAACATGACACTCTCCACAAATAAGTGAAAATTCAAAAGACGAAGATCTATCATGCAAGCACTTTCCAAAATATTGCTAGTGTGGGTATACTCATATTGGATTAAACAGGCTTTAGGGCAAGAATCACTGTTAAGATTAAAATGAAATCAAGCTATCAGGAACATGATAACTTTAAATGTATGTGTGTGTGTGTGTGTGTGTGTGTGTGTGTGTGTGTGTGTTTGTCAGAGAGACAGGGAACAGAATTAAAGGGAAAAATAAATGCTCAATCATGGGGTTCATAATCATTCAATATCTAACAGAACATACAGACATCAAGATCAATAAAATGGAGAAAATAAACACAACATAATAATCCAGATTGACAAAGTGCCATTAATTCACCCTATAATGAAAAAATTCACGTTATTTTCAAGAACTCGTGAACCATTTATCAAAACTGACCATACACAAGGTAGTAGACAAGCTTCAATGAGTTCAAGAATCAAAATCTTAAGAGTATATTCTCTGCCAACAGAGAAAGTAAGTTAGATATTAAAAGCAGGAAGAAGGATAAGAAAGGTAATGTAGTGCAGGTGAACTGGGCCCCAGGGGTTGAGAGCAGAAGAACTAGTCCCATCCCTTTGCTACCTGCTGCATTGAGGTAAGCTAGCCTGCTCAATGCTGGAGAGCTTTCTTTGGTGGTGGTGATGAGGGAGTGCTGGTAGGTTGACCAACCCAGCAACCATCCAGGCCCAGAACCAACACCCAACACCCACTGTATCTATGAACTGCTAGAGCATGTGAAGGGGCCAGTCCTGAGGATGCAATATCTCTATGACAACAGGATATCCAAGAAGAGTCCCATTATTGATAGTACAGCAGAAGCCAGAAGCATCAAGTCAGAGCAATGGCTCATTGCAATGAACACTTGCAAGTAAAGATGTGTGACTCACTGGGCCACACTACACCTTCGATGATGAGATTTTTTTTTCTTTAAAATTTTCTGGAATGCATTTTAACTCCTATGTTCAGAATAAGCACCTACTCTCAATTAGAAAACACATGTCTAAAGTCCTTAGATTAAACAGGAAAGAAACATTTAAAGTCCTAAGATTAAACAGGAAGTACACATCTAAAATCCTTATAGTAACAGGAAATGAATACCTAAAGTCCTTAGTTTAAACAGGAAACACATCTAAAACCCTTTAAATGGGAAACACACATCTAAAGTCCTTGGATTAAGTAGGAAAGCTTGCTGAATGAAGCTGTAACAAAATTGAAAGCATCAGACACATAAGGAGATAAAAAGTTTAAATCTATGATCTTAGTCAAACTTTACAATTTAAAAATTATATATCAAAATACAGGCAGATTATAGATTTAAAATACACACACAACACAAATAGAATCCTATGATATATTTAAAAGGTTCATATCACTAACAAGTGATTTTTACTTCAGGAACATGGTATTGATCAGCAATCAATGAAATATGTCTCATTAGAGGAAACAAAAGAAAAAATTGTAACATCACCTTAACAGATTTGGAAAAAGCAAGCTGGAGAGATGACTTAGCCATTAAAGGCTAGGCTTACAACAAACTGTGAAACAGTATTTCATTCTCAATAGCCAGCACTTATCTGTAGTTTTATAAAGAACAGAATATAATGGATAAATAAGGAACTGTCCTTAGTTCTGTTTTGAGAGCTTTAAAATATATAGTAAAAATGTAATTATTGGTGAAATACTGAGATTTTGCAATTTCCTACTAAGATTGGGATCAAGATAAGAATCAATATACCTTATCTATACTACAGGAAATGAATACCTGGGACAATAAGGTTAGAAAAAATAGTTATAAAGATAAGCAGAATATTAAGTTTTCATTAATCAAGTCAAAATGACTGAGTACATAAAAAGCCCAGAAGACTCTGAAACCCCTTGGAAATAACAAAAGGACCCAGCAAGGCTGCTGGATACAAAGGTCGTTCTTGTCTCTAAGTTGGCAGCAAGAGCACTTTTTAACAAATTAAATTAATTGTGCCACTTACACTAACATCACAAAATGCCAAATACCTAGTAATAAACTAGTAAGAAGTGTGCCAGATCCTCCAGTGTCAACCATGATATAGTGGTAAGGGAAGTTAATGGACAAAAACAAAAGAGATAGAAGAAAAGATAGATGTATTCACATTGGGAGATTCATTAAGAGGAAGACACCATTTTTTCCTAAAATGGTTTACAGACCCAATGCAGTAGTGGTTAGAATCTTACTGGGTTTTTCTTCTTATATAGGAATTGACAAGATGACTTTAAATTTAAATGGAAATGCTACCGAACAGTTTTATTTAACAACTCTTTTCCTTATAAGAGTGTGGTGCTGGCAAAGAAGAAAGAAAGATGATGAATGAAGCAAAAAAGAACTGTTTTCAAATGACATATGCAAATTCTATTACTTGATTAAGGCAAAGGTAAACAATATTGCAGAGAGACAAAGAAAGAGGGAGGGAGGGAGAGTAAAGACCTTCAACAGATACTAAATGATCAAAACTCATGAGATGTTTAACGTTATTAGACATCAAAGAAATGCAAATAAGCACCCCAGGGTAGTAATTCTGTATGC